CGAGAGGGCTCCAAGTCGGCCCAAGAAGCTTCCAAGACGGCCCCGGAGGCCCCCAAGAGATGATCCAGACAGGGGCCCCGAACGGACATTTCGAGCCCTCGGCCCCGAGAGACCCCAGGAAGCTCTGAGAGGCCCCCAAGAACTCCCCAAGAGGCTCGAAGAGGCCTCCAAGATGCCCCCGCGAGGCCTCCAAGAGGCCCCCAAAAGAACCACATTCACAATTTGCTTCAAGGTTTTTCGCCTTATCGGCTTCCCAACGCTCCCAGGCGGCCCGAGACGCCGTCAAGAGGCCTCCACGATCGCCCCAGTACTTCCCAAGAGAGCCCCAAGACGCTCCGAGAGAACTCCAAGATGGCCTCGAGAGGGCTCCAAGACGCCGAAGAGACTTCCAAGACGGCCCCAGAGGCCCCCAAGACGACTTCAGAGAGGGTCCAGACAGGGGCCCCGAACGGACATTCGAGCCCTCCGCCCAGAGAGATGGGTTTTCGGGGGAGCCCCCAGAGATTCCCGAAGAGGCTTCCAAGAGTCCTTCAGGTGGCCCCCATGAGGCCTCCACGAGGCTCCCAAAAGAGCCAAATTCATCAACGCTTGCAAAGGTTTTGAAAGAGTTTCGCATTCTTGTCTTTACAGCTCTCCGACGGTCCAAGGCGGACCAAGAGGCCCCCCATATCGCACCAGCATTGCCCAAAAAGGCCCCCAAGAGCGCCCCAACCTACCTCAAGAGTCCCCTCAGAGAGTCCACAGCGGCCCCAGGATGACCCTCGCACGGCCAAAGACGGTTCAAAAAATCATCGACGCGGCCTTCGCAACATCTTCCGACGGTATGACCATGGAGAAATTGTGTATATGCGAAGCCGGAAGGCGATTCCGAAGAGACGGCATGGTCGTGCGCGTGGAGTTGGGTCGCGTTTGTCGGCGTTGCCGTTCGCATGGTTGCTTGAGTAGTACCCCGTCCTCGCCCGTTGCCACTCCGTCCTACTTGCCTCCGCCGTCTTTGGTTTCCAGGATGTTTTTTTCAGTCCTCGGAGTTCGTAGTGCCATCATCCACAATTTGCTCACCTTTCCCCCAGTTGGAGTTCTTGGTGTTACTCAGACGCCTCCGGCTCACACCTCACCTCACAGCCAGACTCTCACAGCGGGACGTGCCTGCAAATGAGATGCACACATGGAGATCCCCGCGTCGAGTAATTTCAAAGCCGCGGCGTTCGGAGGTTCCGCCTTCGGGACCCCATTCCAGTGGGCGCCACCCGAGCGCCTGTATAAGTTTGCTCCGCCTGCTCAACAGACGCACGCGCGCGGCACTTAGTTCCGCGGACCAGTTGCGAGAGGAAGGCGGCTCAAGCAGCAGACTTCAGGGACGTAAAAGAAGCTGCGGGCTCAGCGAGCGCGGTCGCATACGCTGAGTCACCCGCGGGGGCGCGAGATAATCGCGCTTCGCAGCCGGGCCCGCAAAGGTGCCCCGGTCCAGGACGGCGGAAGGATGGCGCGAGGATAGCCGCGCAGCGCGGGCGATGCACGAATCCAGGTGGCCCAGAGCTTGGTGGGCGCATCCGTTGTGGCCCACCCCGCACGCTGCGCGCCCTACACCAGGCCCCAAGTTGCTGGCGGCTCTCGGAGGCGCGGTCGGTCGACGTCGGCGGTCCTCGGCCGTGCGACGGTCATCCCTCTGCCCTCTCCTCCGCCTCTTCCGACCATCCCGGCGCTCGATGGCCAGCCGCTCCTGATGCACACTGTGGGACAGTGCTCTAGCAACTCACTGCCGTCGAGATGGCGCAGTCATCGTCGCACGGTGGCGGTGACGAAACATTTTACGGACGTCCCAGCGCTCTTGGCTTCTCGACCTATCTGATGACCTCGCACGCCCACTTGTGCTGGGCCACTTGGACTCGATGAGTTGATTTCTTCACTCACTCTCACACACACACATACACACGGTAGCCCTCCTCGCCCAGGAGGTTTCGTGAATTGCATTGCCCGACCCGACCTCTTCCGACCGACCAGCCACGACAGAGACGACAGCAACGACGACGACTTCCACCACGTCGACGACGACGGCGGCGGTGGCGGCAGCGGCAGCGCCAGCGAAATCGACGGTGGCGACGACAGCGACGATAATGGCGGCGGCGGCGGTGGCGACGACGAAGAGAGCGATGGCAGCGGCGGCGACGGCGACTGCGGCGACAGCGACGGCCGCGGCGACGGCGCATTGTGGTCGCAACATGGGTCTGATAACTGAAACTTACACCATTACATCATTGCACAACTACACCATTACACCATTATGTAGAAGGGTGCGCCGCTGCGCCATCATACCATTACACCATTCTCAGAATGGTGCACGCGTACACCACTACACCACTACAGCATTACACCACTACACCACTACACCATTACACCATTTTGAAACAAGCGCCACGTTTACACCATTACACCATTCCGGGGAAACGGTAAGACTTACACCATTACATTATTACACCATTACACCATTACTCCATTACGCCATCACGCTACACATTTGTCGTGGGCGTGGTCGTCGCCGATGGCCTTCGTTGTCGTCGACGACGCGACGAATGCGTTCCCGATTCCTCTCCTCCTTTTTCAGAGGCTCCCCGTGGAGCCCTCCTTCGGCCGCCTCCATCCTTTCTCGGGGGTCCTCAAATGCGTTTCCCGAAGCTCTCTTGGATGCCCTCTTCGGCCGTTTCCGGGCCCTCTCGGTATTCGATGCAGCGGTGCAGGGGTGTAATGGTGCAGCGATGGTGTGGCGTAGCAGCACAAGGGTGCAACAGTGTAGTTGTGTAATGGTCGCCAAACGCGTTCCCGACCCCCCCTCCCCCTAGGGGTGGTCCAGAGGGCCCTCTTGGAGCCCCCTGCGGCCGCCCCCAGGCTTTCCCAGGGGTCGCCAAATGCGTTCCCGACCCCCCCCCCCCAAGGATGCTTAAGGGGGGGGGTCCAAAGGGCCATTGTGGAGCCCTCTTCGGCTGCCTCCAGGCCCTCTCGGTAATCGGTGCGGCGGCGCAGGGGTGCAATGGTGCAGCGGTGATGTGGCGTAGCAGCGTAAGGGTGTAGTAGTGTAGTGGTGTAATGGTGTAATGGCGCGCCGCAGGTTTTTGACTCCCCCCAAGCGCCGCTGGGTTGGCCGGACAGGCTGCTGACAGGGTTTGAAAACTTTCCGTGGGGGTCGCCAAACGCGTTCCCGACCCCCCCCCCTAAAGATCCTTGGCGGAGGGGGGTCCAGAGAGCCCTCATGGAGCCCCTTGCGGCCGCCCCCAGGCTTCCCCAGGGGTCGCCCAACGCGTTCCCGAAAGCCCCCCCTGAAGATCCTTGGCGGGGGGGGGTCCAGAGAGCCCTCTTGGAGCCCCCTGCAGCCGCCCCCAGGCTTCCCCAGGGGTCGCCAAACGCGTTCCCGAAAGCCCCCCCTAAGGATCCTTAGAGGAGGGGTTTTCCAGAGAGCCTTCTTGGAGCCCCTTGCAGCCGCCCCCAGGCTTCCCCAGAGGTCGCCCAACGCGTTCCCGAAAGCCCCCCCTGAAGATCCTTGGCGGGGGGGGGTCCAGAGAGCCCTCTTGGAGCCCCCTGCGGCCGCCCCCAGGCTTCCCTCGTGAGGCCCCGTCCCCCAAGCCGATTTGGGCCACGATTTTGTAAATCCCCCGCCATTTGTTTGTATTTTCTGATCTTTTGATGAGCTTTTTTTTTCATCAGCTGCTGTCACGTTGCCGACGCGCACCCCAAGTTGGGCATCTGCGTTGCGTGCTGTGCCGCGTGCGCGGTGCAGCGCGGGTTGTGCCGTTCGCGCGGCGCCCCGCGTTCGGCGCCGAGGCTGGAGCCCTCTCACCTTTCTCTCGCTTCCGTTCTACCCCTTCAAGTCACGCCGTCAATCCGTCACCCACGCAAGCGTAAGACAGCGTGGTGCTCGGCCGCCGGGAGCAGGACCAGGGCCCATGCTTGGCGTTGGCCATGCTGGCTTGGTCCCCGGGCCGGTCTTTCCCGCACGCGGGAGGCAAGAGCCCACCCCAGGAGCCGTCGCCGTCGACCCCGGGCTCGGAAAGTACGAACTTCCAGAGGTTCGCATCGGGGACGCCCTCCGGAAAGCCCTCGGCGAGGGGCAACTCTGAACAGGTATCGCCCTCCCAGGAGCCCAAAGTATGTGTCACGGAGGCGGTACGTCAGAGTATACGCTTTCTGCTGGCACCGAGATCGCGAGTAGGTTAGCTCCCGCCTTTGGTTCCGGGGAGCCCAGCTGCAACGGATCTTGTTTCCTTGCCCCCACATTGCCTTGCGCGCGCGCGCGCCCCGAGAGACCACGGGCGGCATGGCAGGCAGAAGGCAACCCCCCCGCCGTGCCAAGGGGATCGGAAAAGGTCTTACAAAACCCCGCTGGTGAATTCGAGTGGCCCGAGGTGGGCGCCGCCCAAACCGCCCTGGAGGGTTACTTCGGGTGTGCTGGCCCATCTTCGTCCCCCTGGTTCGGGCCATGCAGTCGAACCGAGAAGGTCTTCCACAACCCCGCTGGTGAACTCGAGTTGCCAAGCGCCTTTCCCCTCCTTTCCCCTAAAGGTCTTTGCGGGAATGCGTCGGGCATCACATCTTCGCAATGGAATATCACCCATCGTTGCGTTGGTTTCGTGGTGGTTTTATGGTACGGTGTAATGGTGTACACCTTACACCATACCAGTATGGTGTAATGGCGTAATGGTGTAAAGCGCTTTTTCTCAAACGGATGTCATGGTGTAGTGGTGCAAACCTTGCACCATTTCAATAATGGTGTAATGGTGTAGCGCTTGAACTCGTCATCAAAATGGTGTAATGGTGTCGTGGTGTAACAGCGCGCCCTTTTCTACAGAATGGTGCACTGGTGTAAGGGTGCATGCTTAACAGAATCCCAAAGATTGGTGTAATGGTGTACTGGTGTAAGTTTCAGTCATCAGACCCAGTGCGCGACCACGCTGGCAGAGGCGGCGACAGCGGCTGCGGCGACGACAGCGGCCGCAGTGGCGAAAGAGGAGGCGCCGGCGTCGGGAACCAGCGGCGCCAAGCAGGCCATCGCCGGCGCCGCGGCCTCTTGCCTCAGGGAGGGTGGAGTCACCAAGCGCGTTCCACTACGAGCAACATGCCTACTCGTAAACGTCCAATACACAAGTGTTGTTCGATGCAATGGAACTTGTTTGCTTCGATGCAGTGGATCCAGGCCATCTGCGAGCAGCTACGGGTAATGGAACGCGCTTGTTCAGGGAGTGAGGAGTTCATGATATCGGTGTAAATCACAAATTCCAGGTTGGCAAATCACAGTGTGCCCAGGTCGCGGCGATTTGCATGTAGATTCAGCTTCGGTGCTACCGTTTCCCTCACCGCCTGAGCCGAAAAGGCGGCAGCACAGGACAAAGAAGCGTCTCCATCGGAATTGGGCTCCAAGGCTCCCAAGAGGCCAATTCGGGGGGAGTTTGAGAGTTTATCTCCTTCTCCTCTTCCTCGTTTTCTTTCTCTTCTTATTGTTATGATTTACTTGCTTTAATATCAGTTTGGCAATGGCCCTCATTTAGTGTTTGTGCGCAGATGGTCGTTGACGTGCTCAGCGAACCCGAGTCCGAATCACTCGTCACTTTCCTTCTTCCCTCCTCTCTACTCCTCGTCCTCCTCTTCATCATCCTTCCCGCCCCCTTTCTCCCTGGGGCCTCTCGTGGGTACTGGGGGGCACCTTCCTTATCCTCCTTCCCCTCCCTCGTTGTTCTCCTCGTCGTTCCTCCTCGTCAACCTCCTCCTCCTCCTCCTCCTCCTCCTCCTCCTCGTTCTTGATAATCCTTTGTGCTTCGCGAGGGGGCCATCGCCCTCGTCTTTGTATTAATCGTTCTCTGGGGAGGGCGGGGACGAGGAGGGGGGGATGGAGAGGGCAGGAGGAGGGGGAGGAGCGGGAGGAGGGGGAGGCGAGGGAGGTAGCAGGGGGGGGGGGGCAGGGGATAGGGGGATTAGGAGGAGGAGGAGGAGGAGGAGGAGGAGGAGGAGGAGGAGGAGGAGGGGGAGGAGGAGGAGGAGGAGGGGGAGAGCAGTTTGATGATCCCGAAGGCACGACGCAGCGAGGGCTGACAGGACAAGGCCACTGTGGCCCTCCTCCGCCCGCGTGGCCACTCTGGCCTCGGGTCGGGCCGAGCCCCCCGGGCAGGGAGCCCAGCCTCGGCGGAGCCCCGCAGACGTGCGCTGCCGGCGGGGGCCACGCGGCCCTGCCCAGGGACGGTGGCACGGCCGCGGCCTGCGGCAGCCGGCGCGACCTTCCGGCGCTGGTCGCGGACCTCACGACCCAGACCTCCTGGCGTCGTGAAAAAATCACGACGGGAGGTTTTCCGCTATTTTCGGCCTCCAGGGGCCCTCGCCGGGCCTCGGGGCCGTCAAAAAACGACTCAGGATGCAAAACCGGCCCCAGGGAAGGGGTCCAGACTTCTGGGGGTCGACGTTGTGAAAAAATCACAACGTCGGGGGTCTGGGGACCGTGCAGGTCGCCGCAGGATGCTTCCATACAGTCGGGGCGCTGAACAAGGAACCCTTTGCGTTGGGGAGGGGCTCCGTGTTCCTTGCTTGTGTCGCAGGTTGCCTTCGGCTGTCCTTCAGTATCCGATGGGGAGTCGAAGTTTGACCTATGAGAAAACGGGCCTCGTTCCATTGTTAGGGTTCCCGAAGGTCAACGCCCCGACTGTACGGTTCTGCCCCGGAGCGGCGGCACGGCCGTGGCCGTTGGCGGCAACCGTTCTGGCCAGTGCGACGTGCTGGCGCCGGTCGCGGGCCCCACGGTCGTGCCGGTCGCCGCAGGAGGTCGCCACCCGGCTCTGCCCAGAAGCGACGGCACGGCCGTGGCCCTCGGCAGTAACCGTTGCGGCCAGTGTGGCATTCCAGCTCTGGGCGCGGGCCCGACGTGCGTGCAGGTCGCCGCTGGAGGGTTCCATGCAGTTCCTCTGAGAAACGATAGCGCGGCCGCGGCCCGCGGAAGCAACGGTCTTGCACAGTGCGACTTCCAACGCTGTGGATACATCCCAGCGACGCTGCCTGGGCCAGGCCCGTCGGTCTCATCTACGGTTCTGCTCAGGAGCGATGGCACGGCCGTGGCTTCCGGTAGCGATGGGTATGGCCAGTGCGACCTTACAGAGCTGTCGCGGGCCTCATAGACGTGCAGGTTGCTGCTGGAGATGACCAGACTGCTCTGCTCAGGAGTGATGGCACAGCCGTTGCCTGTGGCTCGAGCCAAGGCGGCCAGTGCTAGCTTCCGGCGCTGGCCATGAGTTTACGTCACTCGGGGGCGGCAAAGAGGGGGGTGATGACTAGGGGGGGTGGATATCATGGCGTGGGCCATGAGATTTCCCCAGACCTCACGGCGCCCCTTCTTATTTCATTGCGCCCCTGGCCCCCCCCGCTGGGCCGCGCACGTGCCGCCGGTCATGACTTGCACCCCCCCCCCCGGGCACCCCCCTCTTGGCCGCTCCCGAGTAACGTGGCGCATACGGTGCCAACGCTTGGCATCGCTCGGACGTGTGCATGTTTTTCTCGGCGAGGACCCTGGAGGAGCACCCTGGACCATCGAGCAAAAACAAAAGCACGCACGAAACCGAAAAATGCACGGGAAATGGACGTCCGAGCGACGGCAAGAACGTCGCTCTTGCAGGCGTCGCCCGACGGCAACCTCGCACGTCTCCACGGCGCCCCGCGGCGAGGAGCGGCGCCAGCCAGGGGCAGGGCCCGCCGCGCGCACGGCAGCGAGTCGAGGCGCCTCCGGCGAGTCGTCGCCGCGCCGCGCGTTCTGGAGGCGCC